ACCTTCGCTTAGAGGCTTTGTTCTGGTTTCAGAACGATTCATCTGTTACTAAGATTTCTTGTTGGCTGTAAGCATACAGGTGGAATTTCATTTTCTGATATTTGTATAAACTTCATAATTTTTTTCTAATTTTTTTAAATGAAAAATGCAAATCATTGGCGATACCATTCAAGCAGCAAACTTTTATTCCTTCATTCAAATACGAACCGAAACGTCCGTATCAGTCGATCACCCGATAGACCATAATATTGTGCTGTGTGATGGTAAAATGATTTTGCGCTGTTTTTTCAGCATAGCTACCAACGCACGAATAAATTACTCGATCTGAAAGGATAAACTGTTATAAATACCTGAATATTAAATGACACAGGTAATGAGACCCTCAGTTTAGCGGGATGACGACGTGATGAACATGGGCGGATATTATCCAGCAATATAAAGCTAAATATCTGTTCCACTAGTTCACGAATCTTGTAGCGCTATGCCACTGAACTCCGGAAAGGTGGTTCTGAATATCTGTACAGAAGAAAAAGCTAGAAGCTCACTCAAGAGTTTCGATCCAGCCAGTGGGCAATAAAATGAGTCGACGAGAAAAATGACATTTACTGAACTCGAAACAACTACAGATAGAAATACATAAGAGAAACACCGTTTCAACGACTCCATTCACGATCATTTTACATAAGAGCGAAGTCTGCCTGAAGACGTATTTTTGAAACGAAAAGGTCTCAAGGGTTGCCCCTAAAAGACTACTGTCATTTTGAATATGTTCCGTCGAAAATAATGGAAATTTGACCATTGTTCCGAAAGATTTTTACTGTCAGACATATTTTATTATATAAAACAAGTGCCTCTTTTCGAGTTTCATCTTCCCCGGGGCGCGAACGCTCCTCCACCACTTCCTCCGCCACCGCGACCGCCTCGACCAAGGAACGCTGTTCTTCCTCTAGCTCCTAAACGACTCACAAGTCACAAGATTCACTGCTCAAGAATCGGACATTTAAACTCACTGCTGAAAGCTGCCGCTTTGCCTTTAGGTGGTCCACCGGCTTTTGCCGCTCCCTTCTGGATGTTCTTGAACATGGGCGCATTCTTAAGCATGTCTGGCAGAATCATGAACCGGACCTTCGACCCACGGATGTACACATGCTCTAGCTGTGACACTCGACCATCGCGGTACGTTACCGTTAAATCAGACATCTGACAATTCATGTTGTCCTCAGCCTCTATCAACTTTCCTCGATAAACTTCTCCTGAACAAAAGAAATTGTTTTTGAAGGCATTCCAAATAACGTGGATCTTTCAAATTTAATAAAAACCAATTTGAAAAGTAAAAGTTCTTACCATTTGAAGTTTCTAGCGTAATTACATGGCCTTCAGCCTCATGCAAAATTTTTATGGGAACCCCAATAGACATTTTGGTAAATCACTTCTGCGTAAAGCAAAGTTAACCGCGAAAAAAACAGTAAGCTTTAAAATGATCAGTACGTTCTGTCTTTGCCTAGCACATCTTTATGTTATCACTTTTATGAGAACTATCAAACTTTATGACTTGTACTACATACACATGCAGCATTAAAACCTCAGAAAACTATGCTTAATTGACGTAATTAACAAAACCACGAAATTTGTGGATTCGTTACTCGCCGGCGGCCGTCAAAACATTGTACAGCAGTGACTATCTGCGACGATTGGTTGTATAAAGAAAACGTTTTCATGGAGTGGATGAACTAAGTCATTTTACATGACGGAGTAAATCATTTACACAGTAGTCAATTTTGTGAATCATTTGGTTAATTATCTACTGAAGTTCTAAAAGCACATCGTTTCGATAGTCATTTGCATAACCCTGTTCGTTAATTTTCTAATGTAACAAACTTGAAGGCATCTCTAATATTCCGCTATTCTAACTTATGCAATGCAGCACTGTGATATACTTATTTACCACCTATACCAGTTCACTTTTCTCATTGTTTCATCACTGTTTGCATCAGTTTTGATAGCATAATAATCCATGTTTGTCACAGTTTTCGTATGCATTTTGCTGTACATTCTCTTCTGGAGTCGCTTCTTCGACTAAATTTTTACACTAATTTGCATCCTAGTTTTTTCAATTTTGCATTGATGCTTCACCTTTTTGGTCACGGAGGCAGGCGCGTCAGACAGTGTTTCCAACGTTCCCGATCTTATAGAAAAGTCTGAGATTCGGCAGAAGACAACTGGAGTATGGAAAAGACTCCTTCCATATATTTGCACCAGATTAATCTTGGCCATCCCTTGGGCCTTTTTTGTGTCGACTGAGCAAGAAACAGCTGCTTTGCCTTCTTTCCTGGAGGCATTCGCAGCACATGTTCAAACCTTCGAAGCTGTGACTTCTCATTTCGGAGAAGCAGGGGGTTTTGTAACGGAATTTTTCACTCCGGGGAATGTCGAGACGCGTAAGGCCAGCGTCTCGTATCAGAAGGCTCATTTTATTTGTACTCAGGATCGCAATTTTCAGACACGGTCCACGATTCATGGCCGTAGATTTGTGTGGGGATGAAGATTGACTTGAATACCGAGCGTTTATTCTTCAGACTCAGTATTGATTTAGTCACGATGCGGGCTAATCGACGCAGAACGATACTGGATAGTTCAATCCGCTGGTTCGTTTTTTACTCAAATTTCTCATCACCTGTAAATGTAACTCCGATGTACTGGAACTTATCCACCTGCTCTAGTGCTTTTCCGTTAATTTAAAGAGAGCAGCGAGCAGGAGAACGAGAAACGACTGGGCTGTTTATCGTAAATGCGTTCACAAGCATGGTGGCCACGTCGTACTGTTCTGCAAACCTTTCGTGACCGCGTCGTAGATCATTTTCTGCAGATGCCAATAAATCAAGATGTCTGGACACTGCAACCGTCTCATATCCACGTTTCCTTCATCGATGCACTCATCGCCTTGGCTGCGCCTGACTATTCCGTCTATGTACAACACAAACAAGATAAGGGACAAAATGCAGCCTTGGCGAGACGAGTGCCAACGGTCAAAGGATTCTCTTCTACGCGATTTGCTCTGACGCAGCGGTTGCTATCATAATATAGTGATTACATGGCCCGTAGAAACGGGCCATCGATCGCATATGTTCGAACGTATGCCTAAGGCTGTTGTGCTTAACTTGGTCATAGGCATTCTCTGAGTCAATAAATCACATGTACAGCGACTTGGCGAACTCCCACGATTTTTCAACAATCTCGACAATCTGTATTGCCAGAAGTGCTTCGATTCGGCCGGATGCCACATTGCTCTCCTTGTATCTTGGACACAGTTATTCCGGGCACCTTCTTTCTAGCCCCTTTGCCTAGACTTCACGTGAGAGGCTCAATAACGTGATGGCCCCATTAATTGGAGTTGTGTTCCTTCTGGAATATGTGTACAGCAACTCCCGTTTTCTGCTCCGCTGG